AAAATGTAATAAACCACAACGGAATGTTAGAAGCTGGTTTGGCTGAATAGGAAATCATGTAAAATGCACTCATGCTAACCAGTGCAGTTAGCAATTGAGAATAGCCCATAAACCCCTGCACATTCTAATCCCAGGGGTATGGCATAGTGTGCAACACAGAAGATCTTACCATTTCTTCCAATTCAGGGATGTGGGGGAGTCGGAGCCCATCCTGGGGAGCAAGAGGCATACGGCAGGGTACACTCTGGACAGGACGCCAGTCCAATGCAGGACACACACACACGCACACACACACACACACACCAAGGTCCATTCTCCCAGCAGCCAGTTAACCTACAGGTGGTAGGAAACCAGAGCACCTAGAAGAAGCCCACATAAACAAGGGGGGACATGCAAACTCCACACAGACAGCACCCCAGGTCCAGAATTGAACCCAGAGCCCCAGCACTGCAAGGCAGCCATGCCAACCACTGTCCCACCCTGATTCTTCAAATTCCTCAGAGGTGAGCTTGTTTATGGTTACCGCAAGATCTAGAGATCAAGTATAAGAGAAACAAACACATAACCCCCCTACACAGGGGATTTCGCCCTTGCTATGTTCCACATGAAGTGAAGTCATGAGGTTGTTTTTTTTCTGATGAAGCTTAAAAAAATTCAAAATTCATTGCAATCTCAACATGGTCTTATAAATATCAATGCAAATTATGTTATTGTTAATGAATTCTTATGTGCAAAAGAGGTCATTGGGACCAGTTTTTGTCTTAGAATTCTACGGAGGATTTCACGCACATTCATGCACATGGAATTTGACTGAGTGCGACAGAGACAGAGATGGGGCAATATTGAGCATGACCTTTTCAGTCTTTAAAGATAATCCAGACACTAATCTGGACCATCCTTCTTAAATTCCATTAAATACGATAGCCATAAGCAGTTTGTTCATGAATAATAAAATGACTCTGTATGTTTAAATACATACGGAGACACCGTGGCTGTGCCCAGTCTCCTAACCTCATTTTCGGCTCTCCCTGACCAAGTACAATAGGATTAACCAGTCTTCCTGTGGCAGCCACCCTGCAGACCAGCGTGATATACTCTAATTGGATGTGGTACGATGCTTGAAACCAACCTGTGATCAATTACAGAAAAGTTACAGAAAATTACAGAAAAGTGCTTTGCTATTTAATGGCGGAGTCGGGTTTCCAGGGGTAACCAAAGCGACCTTGTCATCACACAGCAAGACGCGTTTGTGCTGAATTGTGTTCAGCGTGTGAACGTCTGAACGTCTTTATCTGGCAGGCTGCTCTGTCTCGCAGAGCAACAGTTTCAAAACATAAGCTGTTACGCACCCCCTGGTTCTGGTAAATACAATATTTTTCACCCTGCCTTCATTAAATCGTTTATTTGACTTGGTCTAAATGACTGCTTTCCCCAAGTATTAAAGTCACTGAGGATCTGAAGGTCACAGGGCCAGTGCCCTTTGAGGACAAGCAGTTAGCAACAGATCGCTGCATTGTCCAGGCAAACACTGTTAATCACAACAACGCAACATCTTTCCTCATCTAACATCATAGGAACAGTGATAGACAGTGTGGGACTGCACACTCTCAGAAAGACATGCAGGAATCCAGGAAGAGAGTAGATAGATACCTCATTTCTCAAATGCTTTTCTCCATTTCCCATCCATTAAGATCAATGTCAATTTCAGCTGAGGAAAAGTGTGAGAAAAAGAAAAAGCCCGGAAGAAACTGAGCTCTTCTATCTGATTGTAAATTGCAGCCTTTCGGCTCTCAGCCCTAGGAAAGAAATTATTCCGAGAGTACCTTGCCTTCAGAAGAGGGTGGCATTGATGAGCCAGAGGAGTCATACCTCAGGATGTCCCACCTGTCAGCACCACAGACAGGTCCGCTGTTTGTCGGCACCGCAGGCAGCTCCACTGTTGTGTCAGGACCAAGGACAGCTCCACTAGTCTTCAAGCACTGACCAGCTGCACTTCCTTCAGAGCCACATGCCTTTCAGCACCACGGATAGCTCCTGGTTACTGCGTTCAGGACCAGCTTCTCTTGCATTGGCTGTTCCTGCCTCAGACTCTCTCTCACTCTCTTCCCAAAGCACTGGGAGTGACTAACAAGGGTGTAGTAAGGAAAGCTTCACACACAGACATAGCAGGCACACAGAGACTCCTACGCACACACTGTTATACACCATACATATTATCTGATTTCCTTAGCAGATAACCTTATCCAGGGCAGCACAGAAATGTATAGAGAGTCCGGATGAAGGGTTCCTATTACATAAAGGTCAAAAACATGGTGACCACAGCAGATAGGCAGAATATCATATACAATAATAGTCAACAAGAAATACTGAAAAAGAATTTAAAGACTGCTCACATTTTTCACATCTGGAAGAGTGAACAGTGCAGATAATAGCAGGAGATCGGTGGAAATTAATTCCTGACTGGTAACCAGCATGATCTTCTGAGATGAGTGCAAGATGTAGACCCTCAATCATACCAGCCCATACTGAGCCGGGGGGCTATGGAGAGAGAGTGAGGTGAAGGCCCAGGGGTCTAGAGGCCCTGATGAAATAGAGGTTCAAATCAGTTTTTTATTAAAGTAAAAATGCAGTAAGTAAATACAGTACACAATACACAAGATATTTTAACATTTTATCTAATAATCATGAATAGCTCTTGTCTTATCACAAAGCAAATGGGCCATATTTTCCATATATATATTTTTCTGCGTTTTTCAAATGGAATTCAGGAAGTTAATTAGGAATCCAAGAACTGGGATGGCTACAACAAATAGGCATGTTCAGTTCAGTTTGGTTTATTGCCATATGCACAAGTGCAATGGAATGCTTATTTGCCTGTATGCTCCAATACAAAGACATTAAGGAAACACCGAAAACATGAACACAGAACAGCAGCAGCAACAACAACAAGTTAAATAACATACAGTACATCTTAGAAAAAAAAATCATGTGGAACTAAAAAGGATCATGGTTATGAGTGACCAATAGCACAGAAAATCACAGTACAGCTGCTGAAATGATTATTATATTATGATATATGAGACATATGCAGCAAATTCTCATTGATTGCATCATATATCATTCATACATCACATTTCTCTATGTATGACATATCATACATTGATCATACAGCAAGGGACACTGCAGGTAGTGGCAAGTCTCCTTTAAAGCCAACAGGCCACTAAGTATCTCAGAGGTAAGGGATATGAGCGATCTAATTGAATAAACGATGTTTGAAAGTACAATTACGATCAATTAAGGCTGCGCTGAACAAATGCTGGCGTCAACTTTCCTGGATAGCTAAATGACCTCTTGACAGTACAATGAGCTGCGTTGTTTATGCATTATCTCATGAGCTAAATTAAAACATTTGTTAGGAACTCGGAGCTGCGCAGATCTGGCCATCCAGCAGCAATGAGCCATCAGATTAATTCTTAACACTCTTCAGTACCAAGGACAGTTCCACTCCTGGTTCACTCTGACCCAGGGTTTCACAGAGCTCGAATGTCTCTCTCCTTCTCCTCGTCTTTGCCTCTCTTTCTCGTCCACCTCTATCCTCCTGCAGCTCCTCCTGTCTCTGGGCCTTGCTGGGAGTGACGTACAGAGTGTGAAAAGGCAAACACGTTTTTTTTGTTTATTTGTTTGACAATTATAAATGTTTAATGAGTTAATTCTTTAACTCAATTAGTTACTGGAGTGTTGGCATCTGTTAATCAGGTAATCAGCTTTGTGCAAATCAATAAGTTCTGTGCTGTGTGTTAATGTGCAACAGCTGTGGGAGTGGGTATAAATAGTGTGAGAAAACAGGTGTTGAAAGATGCTGCTTTTTTAACTCTGTAATGAGCTTTTTGTGTGTTTTTTAATACAAATCAGTTTGCATTAGACTGCTGGAAGATTGTACAGTATTTGCTGGTCATGGGAGTGTCTCCATTGCTCCAAATTCTCCTGTAAGTACATAATGTATGTCTTTGATAGCAGGTTAGCAGACTAATACTCACATTCAAATAATTCATAGTGGCTTGTTTGCTCTTAAATGATACTTTAATCCTGACGGGTGTTTCTAGTAAGATACAGTATATAAGCCTGTTTCACTGGTTGGTTAGCGATGTCATGCTGATGGAGTACTAATGGGGAAAAGCAGTTGTTTGTGGCTGCTAACATTGATCCATGCATTGCATTTGATGGGAAATATACTGGTCTTTCCCTATGTTGTAAAATGGATCAAACTAATATTCATTTTCCCATAATTAATAGAAACTTGTTTGCTGTTTAAAGACCACTGTTTGTCTTCCTGAATGTTGCTCCAGTGGTTAGAGTCTCTTTGATGTGATGTATTTCCTTGTCTATACAGTTACCCATCTTGATGTGGAAATAAATGAGGACAGTACAAAGTGGGACCAGCTCACAAACCTAAAATTTCCATCTGACCTCTTTCATAAGGGCATCCACAATCACGGTAAACATCCGAGTGAGCCAGCAGTCAGGCCTAGATTAGCCAGGTGTCTCACCAGCAGGTGGGGGTGAGGGTGCAGTTCTGGCTGGGAATGAGCCTCTTGTGCAGGTAGTGGAGTACTTGCATACCTCAGTCACAGCAGGGCTGGAGATCTATTCGCTCTTAGGATTTGCATGTGCATAGGTCTATTCAACTGGTTGAAGGTGGGATCCGTCACAGTATAATCCATGTACACAGGTAGGTTAAAAGTACAAATATATCTATTCATGATCTTGGGTCTCCCTACACAGAACAGCAGGCTGACTATATGTGTTATGTACGTTACAGGTTGTTAAACGTGTCCAATATGTTACAAGTTGTAAAGCTGACATGGTGATGCAACCAGCTGCTCCAGGGTGGTGACAAATTTAAAATTAGAATTTCAGCACTTATGGGCAGAAAAGAGAGACTTGTCAAAGAGATCTCTGGGTCTAATGTGGTGTGAAAGAAAAACCAGATGCCTTCAAGATACAATTGCATAAAGAAAACATTTTTATTCTTATTGCTGTTGTGCTGTACAATTCTCAAAGTATGGCACTTGTATTTGAATGAAGGACAGATGTAAGACATAAGATGCAGACGTGATGGTCACACTTTTTTTTGTTTACGTTTTTGTTGGTCTTTCAGAAAAAAAACTCACTCAAATGTCAGCTCCCAACTGTGGTCGGCTCTCATGTGGGTTTTCAAGGACAAATCCAGCGATTTGCTTAAGGAGAGGAATGAGCAGGATGTTTCTGAAAGCTTTTAAATCAAATCTGTTTGAGTCTACGTCAGAACGAGTCAAGGTGAGAGGAAAAAGTCCACCCAGCTGGTTTAGAGAGACAAAGAATGAAAATTAAAGCATTCACACTGCTTACATAAGGACAGGCCCCAGAATCTAATACTTATTTCATGCAAATGTAATGTCCTATAGAATAGTTTTTTTAAAATTTTGTATTCATTGGTGCTGCTTTATTATTAGTGTATAATTAACAAGTCAAGCAAAATTTTTCCTGCCGTTTTGTCTACACACAAGATCTTTCAACTGTTATTGGAGGGATAAAGTGATCTTTGCAGAATTTCCTGACTCTTCCTGAATCTCCATATTCCTCTGCACACAGAGCTGTGGATTTGCTCCCAGCAATCCAGCTCATCTCTCAGAAGCCTCACCTTCCTCCGGATCTCTTGTCCTACCTCGTTCTTCTTCCCCTGGGCCAGGCCGACGCTGTCTTTGCAGATAATGAACAGGTCCAGGCCCATGAAGACCGCGTTGGCGGCTATGAACCCCACCCTCGCTGCCTTCGAAAGGGCCAGTGGGGTCCCTTTGGCAGCTCGGCCAATATCCACGATGTCTACTGCTCCTGGCACACTGCGTGCTGCCTTGCCTTCCTGAAGCGCCACTTTGGCAGCACTGGCAACAAGCCTTTCAGTTTTAAGCAGATTAACAGCCGAGGCACAGTCTACAATGGTGTCGATACCCTTCCCTATGCTAACGAGCCCCACTACCATTTTTGCTGCCTCAATAACTGCCTTATAGTCGACGTTGGCATTATCTATGTCAACACCCTGGCCTTTATTGCTGGCTACTGAATGTATGAATTCAGTTATGGCAGCTGCATCTTTTGCATAATTCTTTGACACTTCTTGGAATCTCTTTACTTGCTGGATGTTCATGGCGATTCCTGTTACACCTGTTGCAACGCTGCCAACTGCACTGGTGACGCCCAGCACTACGCCGGACAGAAACAGTGGGAGGGACAAGCCAGCGGTGACAGGAGCCAGAGCCAGTCCTGCAATGCTCAACGCCCCACTTACCAGCCCCACCGAGCTGCCTGTCACACTGGAGATGGCTGTGCCCTTCTCCACTTTGTCCAGAAGGTTCGCCGTCTCCTCCAGCTCCTGCAGATACTTCCTCATTCTGGAATTTCGGGCACTGAGCAGGCCAATGAACTTCAGCGCATTGTCTTTGAAAAGAAAGGTGATCCTCAGGTGTTCATCTTCCCTGTGAAAAAGAAAAAAGATTAATACTGCAGGGCTAGACAGGCCAAGTGGATTCACTTATTACCACCCAGCAATAAGGATTAGTACTTGGATAACTATTATAGGGAATAAATTCTATAGAGGTGAAAATATTGACAGATGTTGGACCTCATCTATTAAGCTGTTTTTTAAAGAGACCAGAATACAGTAGAATAGTAGGTGCAAATGTTCCCTTTTTTGCTTTTCATTCCATTACCTGATTTTATTCAGCTGCTCTAAGTGGTCATACATCTCTTGCAAGCTCTCAGTGGTTAGGTCACTGTGGAGGTGGGGAAATACCGGCTGCTGGATGCTTTCCAGTGCTCTGTTGTAAAGAACAGATGGCATTTACATTTACAATTCTGCTGTGATGCATCAAATCATCCATCCATCCATCCATGTTGTACTCGTTTCATCCAGTACATGATCATGGGGGAGCTGGAACCTATCCTGACGAAACAGGCACAAGACAGGATACAGTCTGGATTGTACACCATTCTGTCACAGGCTGGACAGACACACTCGCACTCGGGCCTATTTTCCCAGAAGCCCAGATATCCCAGAAGAGGACTTCAGAAACTCTTGTTGCTCTTCATCAGTCTGGAGAGCGTTGCAGAGCTATTTCTGAACTTCTTGGGGCTCTATTCATTTAGTCTTGTCTCCCCAAGAGCTAATGTCAGAGCTGATGCCTCAGCCTTCAGGAACAGACTGAGTAGCAGTGATATTCATGGGAGGAGAGCCAGGAAGAACGTTGTTTCCTGTCTCAAGTTTGCCAAAGAGAATGTGCTCGATCCACACAACTGGAAGAATGTTCTGTGGAAAGATGTCAAAAGTTGAACTTTTTGGATTCAGTGAGAAACATTTTGGATGGTGGAAACCAAACATGTCCTTCCAACTAAAAACCTCATCCTGACCATGAAGCATGGGAATGTTAGTATCATGGTTTGGGGTGACTTTGCTGCCTCAGGACCTGGAATTCTTTACTCCCTTGAGGGAACCATGACTTCAAGATTGTATCAGCAAATTCTGGAAGAGAAAATCAGACCATCCATTCATCACACCCGAAGCAGGCTCCACAGCTGAAATGTTCTCTTTTCTTTTCAGCGTGGAAGAAAGCTTGACCTGTTCGTTTGCATCCATTCATCAGCTGAAGATGAACCGAATGTGAGTCAGTGTAGCAAGACAATGATCCTAAACACTCAAGCAGATCTACATCAGAGTAACTAAAGAAGAAATGCCTCATTTTGGATTGGCTACCTCGATGTCAAAGCTAAACCCCATTAAAATGATGCGGCAGAACCTGAAGCAAGCTGTTCATGTGAGGAACCCCAAAATGTCACTGATTGGAAGAATGGGACAAAATTCACAGTTTGTGAGACTGAGAAACAGTTACAAGATGGCTACAGTTACAATGACTAGTTGAAGTAATTTCTGTTGGCAATTGTGATGGTTTGCAATCACTTTAAAAATGTGGACACATCATTTGTAATGCAACAAAATGAGACCTCTTTGGAATGGGCTGAACTTTTTTTGCAAGGCACATGCAAGAAACGTGCAGAAAAGTAAAGTGTATATCAGTACCTCATTATTTTTAGTTTCTTACAGAGTTCCTCAGCGTTCTGTAAGTAGGTTTCTAGCTGGGGAACGAGCATTTCTATGTTGGCGAGGTCAGGCAGGAACAGATCTTTGGCTCTTCTCTGGAAGTGAAGCAGGAAAGGCGCGACTAAGATAGTGATAGCAATGGGCACAGGAACGTCGGGAGCATTTAATTCAACAGCCTGGTGGTACTCGTCTGTGAACAGAGGCAGGGAGGTGACAGACAGCTTCCCCACAGCTTCCAGGACTGGATCGAGTTCTGCCAGGCCGGCCAGAGTCTCCTCCAAGATGCCGCCCAGCTCTTTCTCCA